CATGTCAACCAGCCGCCTCTCCCCTGAGCTAGGCCATTGGGCAGATGGATCCAGGTGGCCTTTGGGTTGGAGAGTAGGTCAGGTGCTTTTTGTAAACTCTCAAGTATTTTGACTTCTGTACAACTCGAACAAATTCGAGGACACTGGTTCCGCAGAACATGCAGCAACGGCAATTTTTCCGCTTTGTTTAGGAGGCATAATGCCGCTGTGCTCAGGATACCTAGAAGTAGGAGTGGTTTCCGGCTGTCTAGTAGAACGATTGTGTTTTGTACATTGACCTTACTGCGGTTCATGAGGGTCTTTTCTTGCGGGCGTGCGCCCTGGTTACTCCATGCAACAGCGTGGATACGCGGCGGGGAGGGAATTCAGCAACCCTATCTCCCTAACACAAAAAATAAATCATCATTCTCTCTCTAAAGAAAATCTGCTTTGCTATAGTGCAAGTAAACCGGCTCCAGCGTCTGTCGCGGTAAGGAGCGGTACTGTTCTGTAGTTCACAGTCACTACGAAGGAGCTGTAGTGGAGCGCTCAGAGACCTAGTTAGCTGTAAGGGAACAGATACAATACTAAAAGGCAAGTTGTATTACTTTAGACATAAAATTTAGATAACCAAGTCAAGAACGCTCAGCCGCCACACCAGGTTGGGACTGGCTGTGAGACTGATGCTGCGCCTGAGAGACTGACTGACGCCTTTTTAAGTTTATTGGACTCGAATATGTTTGAAGGACGACTACTTGAATATTTATGTCATTATAGTAGAGATATGTTGCTCTTAGATTATAGATGTAGAGCCTGAACACTGTAGGGTTGATATAGGGTACATAAGTAGTAACAGCAGAGCTCGCTGTTCACTGCAGGAACANCTGAACACTGTAGGGTTGATATAGGGTACATAAGTAGTAACAGCAGAGCTCGCTGTTCACTGCAGGAACAGTGTATTCATGAGAAATGAACACTGCTCCAAATCCGTGCATTCTGATGTAAATTGTCTCTCATGTTCTTTAACGTGATGCAAATATACATTATATTTATATTATGCAATGCTTCGTAGATAAATACACGACACTCCGCGTTATTTATAGTGAATGAGAGAAGCCGAACAGTAAGGCAGCCTCAACTGGTGGAGCCGGATGCAACCGGGCTGCCCTGGCGCCGCTGCTGTTGCTGCTGCTGGCGCTGCCACAGTGGCTACGCTTCAAGCAACCGTGTTGTTTTTTAACATCATTTGGTGAGTTTCTTCCCCCGTCCGTCTGAAGAGGTAGGGGGAAAGACGGTGAAAATGGATGGCCAGACTCCTACGGCAGCAATTGCTGCTGCTGCTGCAGCACTGAGTGGCGCGGATCCTGCCGGAGCGAGGAAGCAGCTGGCTCTCCTCTACCAACAGTTGCCTGTAGATGACCGCCGCTATGTATCAGAAACAGACAGAGATGAAGTATTTAGGCGCCTCAGGAAGGACAACCGCATGTAGGCCGCATTCCCGAGGGGAGCGGCGCAAGCAATATATGGGGTCCCGCTTAGTTATATATGCGCCACGAACATTTGTGCTTCCATGTCTCTATACATATTCTTATATTTGTGGATGTCTTTCCCTCTGAAGCCTTCTTCTTTATACAGGAGCGGCGAAGGCGCCACTGCCGCCTGGGCTCCCGAACGGCAGCAGTTTGCAGCTATTGCGTGTTCATAGCGTACTGCNAAGGCGCCACTGCCGCCTGGGCTCCCGAACGGCAGCAGTTTGCAGCTATTGCGTGTTCATAGCGTACTGCGTGTTTACGTATGAATTCTCGGGGGAGTCAGAAGCCTCGCACTCTCTGTGCATCCCCCTGGGGTGAAGATGAGTCTTTCGGTGATGACAGCTTCCGGGCGGGACTTGTTGTTTGAGTTGTGTTTCTGTTCGCGTTTGTCATCAGGTGTTTCGACTGCAGTGCGAGAAACCCTACATGGATATCTCTAACCCATGCAGTCTACGTCTGTCTTTCGTGCTCGGGCAAGCACAGACGGCTCGGCACGCATCTTTCCTTCGTACGGTGAGGCTTCGGTGTGGTGATATTTCTAAGGTTATGTAATATATCTGAAAATAGATACCGCTAAGACTGACAGCTGGGGCTGCAGTGGGCGGCTTCAGCTCGCCGCAAACACCCGATACTTGAAATATAAAGGTACTTGCTGTTCGTTGCTGCAGTAGCTTCTGGGTACCTGCATATGCGCGGTTTTGCTCGTATTTGT